AAACCAATCAAAGTTTGTCCTAGAAAAAAGTTAAAATGTCACTGGACCAGCTACAGAAACCCGAAGTCCTCCTACCTTCTACCAGATTTCGAACTACGGATTCTTACTGTCACGACTCACGAAGTCGGCTGAGTTTCTTTCGCTGCTTCTTCTCAGCACTGTGCACTGGCCCATTTATTGTCCCGAAGCAGTCTTATACGTCCCATTAAAAGAGCTTTTCAAAAGCCCATTCACAGAAAATAAATGATTTTTAGCCAATTTTAAGCGATCACGATATGGTCCTTCTAGATCTAGACTAGGGTGTTTTTTTTTATTCTTGCAACACAGAAGAAACAATCGAACCACATCCATAAAGAGCAAGCGAAGATCCATATCGAGTGATGTAAACGGACAAATATTATGTTTAAGTATAGTATAGTAACGTTACTCAACGAGTTTGCGACCGACCGGTGAGGTGGGGCCATGAAGGAAGAGGTTTAGCTTTGACAAGTCAGACAGTCATTTGTTTTGACCTTGATTTTTTTTATCCACAATCCACAACGAGTGCGCTCTTGGCATGCGCCATAAGGCCAAGATACAATTCTTACCTGATGGAAAGTGATGGTCAGGCCGAAGGTGGAAGCGAGTCGCTTCTTGTGGTTAAGTCATTCATTTCACCCCACACTAGTGCTTTTCCTATGTTTTTTCGTTGGGTCTCTCAACTAAATCTGATTAGTTTTAAGCATAAACAGGTTACAGACAGACTTTCTTTCGATTACTTTTTCATGCTTAAACTAAGACTTTCGCATTTTAATATCAGGAGGTAACCCAGGTAAGGGCCGACGGAATTTGCTAGTCTTTAACAGGAGCTTATGAACTACTTATACTTAACTATGAGATGAATTAAATGGTGACAACAACAAACATTTCCTTACTGGTTAAATAAAATTGATAAGTTACTTTTTTTAAAAAAAATCTATTTTTGCTTGTATTAAAAATAACCATTTTTTCTGACAAAAATATGTTTTCGTGGCCTCTTCTGGATGTGAATTTTATTTCCTCAAATCCCCACTGATGGGGCAAGTCGATGGGAATTAGGGGAAACTCCACTTTACCAATCTCATAGAAGCTTCCAGAACCCTTCCTGCTGGTTTTGTGGCCACACAGTGAGTCACTAGCTGTGAAAGTGCGGGGCTCTGACGTCACCGGAGGCTGTTGGCCAACAGCGTGGGCTGAATTGGATCTTATAACCTTATAAATTGAAAGAGGATATTGAATTGATGTTTTCGAAAAAATAAAAGGATTATTTATTACGCTATTCACAAACATTACTATGAGGTATCACAGTGCGCGTGGACGCACAGGGTCACACACAAACCAATATAGCTCTATTCAACGCTGTGCGTTCGAAATCGTTTGTGAATTGGTCGAAAATAGAAGTGAGTGACTAATGCCGGTTTTCTATTTAAAATTGATTATACAAAATTCTATCATCCTAATCCAAATTCGTCCGTCTACTGTAAAATTTCAATATTATGTTTTTGGTCTTTTCGAAGTTATTACATTATTAATATTGACAGTTGAAAGACGGAGTTGGATTGAGATTGAATTATTAGCAACCTATTCTGAGATGTGAAAGAACAAATCAAATTCAAATTCAAATTGTTTTTTTTTTAACTAAGTAAAGGGGTAAAGGTCTACACTAGAAAAGATCAGGCTAGGATCATGGGAATCAAACTAGGAACCACCAGGTTCGAAAGATTTCAATTCTTTAGCTTACCAATTCCCGGAGACTGAATTAAGTTTGTTGATTATATAAAAACTTATTAAACTTAGGAATTAGAACTTAGAATATACTTAGGAATTAGGTACATGATACGGGGTGGAATTTTGTAATATGCGACCTGGAGGGAAAGTACTCGTAATACTGTAGATAGAAAATTTTACTCAAAGAAAACATTCCTTTATTTTTGAAAAGAAAGAGAACTGCATTCAAAGATTTTCGAAAATTTTTAGAAAATTCACTACCATACCATACAATTTTTTGCACATAATTAAAATAATTTAAGATTTTATGGTTTTCCTTTCATTTAATTTATCAAGTTTGTTAAAGAGATTTTATCCTTAAACTTAACCCTAACGATCGATGCAATAAAAATACAGCGTGTAATTTTTAACAGATTTTAGTTGGATCATTTCCCAGGTGTGGCAAGCAAATTTTTGGAAATCTTTTCTTTTCAAAAATAAAGGAATTTTTACTTTGAGAAAAAAATTCTATCTACAATTATTTTAAGAGATTACCTGGAGGGAAAGTAGTTACCTCCAGGTGGCACTACAAAATTACACCCTGTATATCACCTTACCGTACCGTACATTACAAGGAAACTACATAATGTAGGTAAAATATTGCATCATACAGTAGTTTCTTGATAATTTTGTAAGCTAAGTTTGTGTAGGTAGGTATAAAAACTGCGGTAACAAAATACCTAAATCCTTACACTGTTAAGTCTGTAATTGCCTGTATTTGTGGTATATTTTATTTTGTGTGATGTCTATTGTAATAAATTTATCTTTCTTTCTTTCTTGCATATTTTACTCAGCGCCATCTAATAGCTAGTCCTGTTTATCTAGCATAAAAAGGCAAATCTTGTGCTAGACAAACATCCTCTAGCATAGCAAAAGGCTCACTTGTCGTGTTTATTATGAAATAATAATATTTCCCCTTCGATATTATGATATTAATCTTGATAAAATCAGCAACCATTACTTAAACACCATGTTCATTATTACACTGGTCAACAAAAAATCAAAATTAAAATGGTGCCGAGATTCTGTTGATAGTTTATTATTAGGTGTGTATTAGTAATAATAAAAACATTTTTCTTTTTTTTTCCTACGTGTAGTTTTTGATCTACCCTCAGTTTTAAATTTTAGCTTTAATTGGTACTTTGGTTGCACAGTTTGTAATGTTATCGGTATATTTTTATAACGAAATTTATTTTAATATCATGTCTGCATTGCCAAGAAGTTGCCTCAACGATCCAAATGTAATTTGTTACATTTGTGATGTGCACACAGTTAAGAATTTCAAAAATTTAGACAAAATTTTAATAAAAAGTGCTTATTTTTCTTACTTTAAGTCGGAAATTGTGGTTGTATTCAAGCCGTGGATACCCGAAATTGTTTGTATAATCTGCTGTGAATACTGAGGCAATGTTTTAATGGTCAAAGAAGCCATAACATGAAGTTCAGAGTGGAAAAAGTGAGGAAAAAACAAAAAAAAATCCTGGTTTGAGCATAAAAAAAGGTTAAAGCAGTAAATTTTTTATGGCCCACAAATAAGAATATTAATAAAAGATACTGATTTCTTAAGTTTGATGGACGTTTGGAACGATTTACGTGGACTTATTTTGTTGAAGTTACTAAAAGTTTTTTCGGAAATCACAGGACTAGTAACTACTATGAAATTGTGAGACATGCCCTAAAAACTCAGGATGTAATAATTTTCATCAAAGGGCACTACCTCCACAGTCATCTTGACCAATTCCCAGAGAATCTTGGGTCACTATAGCATGCTATAGCTAAGAACAGGGAGAGCGATGCTATCAAGACCTAAAAACCATTGGAAGAGAGGTACCAAGGCAGATGGGATAGCTATATGATGGCTGATTACTGCTGGAGGATGTAACGTGATAGTTCCATTACACCTCATTCACAAAAGTCGTGGAAAAGAAAGTTTTTAAGCACTTCAAAATATTAAAAACGCTGATTTTGGTGAAATTTTGTATTTTTCTATACACGTCAAAATCTAGAAAACCACACGTAGGAAATCAACAAATTTGCTACTAAAGCAACCAGTATAAAGTCCTTAATCAAAAAATATATACAGTTCCTTGGCACCAAAACCACTGTTGACCAGTGTTATTTACGCAATTCATTATTTTCCTTGCGGCTCGAGATCTTGATAAACGAATTGCTTGTTTTACAAGACTAATTAGAATTATTTCATAACACCATGTATGTAATTATACTATTTTGAGGTAATTACTTACGAGGTAGTTTTGTAGGCCCTTCTATCCTCGCTAAAATAATGTAGATATTATAATATTTTCAGTGATTCATTGATGTTACGATTTTGTCAGAAACTTATGCAATTACATAATAATATAACTAAATAAGCTAAATTTTTTGGTAATTAGTCAAAATAACTTGCACAGAAAGTTTAAAAGTAAAGCTGTCAAAATATAACATTAAAATTTGCCGCCATATCGTGCAGTACCGCCAACATCACAAACTGACATTTAAAGCAACCATTTCAAGTATTTGTGTCATCGGGCTTTTTGCACTTAGAGCGGAGACTTTTCGTTTTCACTGGCTTATACATTAGATACGTTCAGAAAATTTTAAAAAAATATGTCTGTATTCTTTCAGAGTAAGGGGCTGCCCGCAGACTGCCGCGCACAGGGTCACCTTGACTAACATTGAAAAGAAACTTCAAATTCAAAATTTTCATTGTATATACATATAAAAACTTGGTTATACCTATTTGCATTTGCATTTAGAGAAAAAATTGGATTATATTAATATAGATTAATATAGTTTTTTCTTTAATAAACGGGCATATTTTTAAATTGTATTTTTTTAAATACTACCCGTGCCGTGCGAAGCGAAGCAGGGGCAGACTATGGGTATTTATTAGTTGTTCAAAAACCTCATGGAAGTCTTTTTTAGTATTTTGTTTATCTTTACATTTTTTTCATTTTTGATCTATCTAGGTCGCTTTGCGTTTTCGTAGCACTCGAACTTCGTTACGAACACAATGTGAAAACTTCTTATTTACTGTGTGTGAATGACATTTTGTTTAAGGCATAATGCCCTAAAATAAAAACTTCTTCTTCCTCTTCTTATCCCAAAGGTCACAAGGTCACCTAAGCTCTACCGGACGTATAATCGGTCTTTATAAAAACACAGTGTGAGATCAATGTGAATTTCCGAACGCAAACCAAACTTCGTTCGTTTCTCAATGTTGGCACTTCTAGCGATTGCTCAACGAGTGGTGAATTTGTCATACGATTAATTTTAGATAAAAACTTACTTTATTTCAGTGCTTGAGTGCGTGATAATAGTTTTCAGTAAAAAACTGTTCAATTAGAACAGTTTCACTGTGAACTGTGTGTGTGGTGTGTGAATTTTCTGTGAACTATCGAGGTGTTTTTGTACCATTAAGAATGGATAATTTTCAAAAAACTCCAAAAACAACGCCGATCACGGAGGATTACCATATCTCCAACACAGTCCTCGGCCTTGGGATCAATGGAAAGGTATGTAACAATGGCTAGATTTTATGTAAATGGCAAAAAACAGCAAAATACATGTCGTCCATTTGCGACGACACTGTGATATATCAAAAACAGTGGTTTTACAGAAATCGACTTTTAAACTTTTGAATGACCATAACTCTTAAAATAAGGTTAGGATTACCTAATTGTGTATGAAACGTTTAAAGATTAACTATTAATGAATTTAAATATTTATAGTAAGACATAACTTTGCGTCTAAATTGATGAAATTATAGCGATTGAAAAAAAAAGAGACAACTTGTCACGTTATTCTAGTAAAAAATAATATTTTGAAGATGGCAAGTTCAGTTGTCACGTTGTAGATGATATAAAAACATATATTTATATAAGTCATTATTTAGATAAAACGTTGATCTTGAAAAAATTTTTTTTATTTTACTAACATTACAATCAGTAAAAATGAGGTAATTATTGGAACAGGCGAATATTTCGCTTTGCCATGTTAAATTTCACTTATAAAAATATTATCTAAGTAGACAGACAGTTGTATATGTCAACGTGAAATTGTGAACTCTGTCAGTTTATAATATAACGCGTTAGATTGTAAACTAACAGTGGGTTAGGTTAGGTTAGATTTTAATTTAACTACGTCAGATTGTAATCTGACGGAATTTAATTCAATTTTACGGCGACATATACATTTAATATTTAAGTTCACATTAAGTTTTCTTATTCTAAAACCTAATAGGTACTTATCAAAATAAACGAAAAACTCTCAAAAGTAAAACCTCGTAAACTACTACAAAAAAACACAGTAAGAGAAACTGTACTAAGTATGTATGTATGCAGAAAAAAAATTTGTAGGTACCTACTAGGTTAGTAAATAGATGTTTTTTAACAAACTAGTTATGACAATTTAATCCTAAAACTATCAACGCAAAAATCGCCGTCTCCGGCGCATAAAATGGCAAAAAAGCGACATTTTGGTACCTTTTAGGGTCTTTTAATTTTTTATACTTATTTAAAATTAAATTTATAAAAGATATTTAAATAATGTATTAATAGTGAAAAATAACAACCACTATTATTTTTATAAATAATGTAGCCATTTTATTGGCGTAGTTTTTCTTATTATACAAAACAATGTTGCGCCCGCCAAAGTAAATTTGGGCAAGATGCGATAAAATTCCATTAATTGCTGATGATCTGTAATTATATTAAAACATTAAAATACCTTTTTTTGCAGAAAGCAAAACATAGCCAATACAGCTAAGTAACATTGAATAATTACATAATAATAAATAAATATATATCTGGGGTCATCCAACGCATTGCTATTCTAGCCTACTTCTACTAATAGATAATCGTCTTAGATTAAGCTAATCTAAGGCTATTGTATGATAATATAAAATATTTTGCTTGTTGTGTCTGTAAAAACAGACAGTCGTATAAGTATGTTTTATTTGCACTGTATTACTAGTATTTGAACTAATTCTTCAAAACGAATGTATGTTTATCAGTCTACATCTACTCGTATTAGTTCCGACGTTATTGTAGCTCAAAGAGACCCTTTCACAGCGCTCGCATAGCGCTGTTAGTCATGTTGTCGGATTAGGTTGTGGAATTCCTTCAGGCAGTGCATCGCCACAAATGCTAACCTTTGCTTTTTTGCATTGCTAGTCCCCATCTGTAATGATATCTGGAGTTTAGTATTACTGTTTAGCGTATACAACGTGACAAGTAGATATACCATTCAATTTCAATAACATGTATTCTGCAATAACAGAACATCAACAAATGACCTACAACATATTTCCAATATAGGAAAAATTTTCATCATCTACAACGTTACTAGTTAAGATGTCCCGATGATACTTCGATTTTCTTACAAGAATAACGTGACATATAAATAATTTATCTTTTACTTTGCTTTTTGTTTTAGAAGAACACTGTGATAAGTATGACGTGCCACATTGTCGAATAAAATAAAAATATTTTAAAAACTTACCTTTGTCATCAATACCGCGGTATCCTCTAGATGTCACGTTTTTCTTAAAAACGAAGATCACCTCACATCTCAAAGCGCAGGTGGCAACTGAACTGTCACAGTGTCGAAGCCAACTAGATCGCCGAACGAGCCAGCGCTATAACGTAATATTTTGTCTCTTTCTCTCATAGTATTGTTGTTTTTGGAGTAACAAATACCCTGTTTTTGGAGATAAAAGAACGCAAGATCGCGGTTCAGAATTTCGATAAAACAAAAAATCGTATATGTCGAGATGTCACAGTGTCGTCGCAAATGGGCGATGTATGGAACTTATTTGTTTACTTCATGACGTAAACGTACAAATTTAGCTTCAGGAGATGCGTTTTTTATCTCCCGTAAAGAATGGCACGTCTTTTGTATTGAAGTTGTACCATTGACAAACTTAAAAGTTTGAAATTTCCAAAAAAATCGTAACTTATTTAACCCATTTAGACCTACCGTACCCTATGTGGTACGGTATATTATTGAAAATATTTTGAAGTACCAAACTGTTGTTATTTTGTAAAAAATATTGTAACAGTAAGCTTGAAGTGATTATTTTACATAAAAATATTTAAAAATACGTTTTAACAGATGGTTTCGGAAATATTTTTGAAATTCCTCGACAGAAAACAAAAAAAAAATTTACAATGTATTAAAGAAGGCATATTTCTTATTATTTTTGGTAAATTATATTATTTATGAATTTTATTTCAAAAATAGAGTATAATAGATATCATGACTACAAAAAAAATATTATTGAGATTATTTTTATACCATTTTTTCTAGTGTAAAATAGGTGTGCCCTATAAGGTACAGTAGGTATATGCATAAGCAAAATCATGAGAGAAAATATAATTTATTTTTTATTATTATTCATTGTTTTAGGCTATTGATGCTTCACTATATTGCCACAACTCTTGAAAAATTTGATAATTTCAGCAAACAAAGTAATTTTGGTATTTTTTTACTGTTTTCTTATCAGATGGCCGCTAATGGTGATCAGACTGACGCAGATTGAGGCGATAAAGATAGTGTCAATGTAAATAATTATCCTCAGAGATTTCTTCGATGGATTTGCTAAATTTCCGTCGTCATATTGTTAAATTCGGTTATTGATAGCAATAAACGTAACAAGTCAGAAGAAGCCAGGTCTTCTTCAGCTATCCTCACCAACTTTGAGGAAGGTAGGAAAAACGAACCAAATGTGGTTTTAGTGTCACATAAAACGTCTTACAAGCTATGCCAAGAGTAATACTGGTGATTATGTGATTTTATTTTTATTTTATATCATACAAAAATAATCAATAACCTTCTTAGAACAACTATTATGTTTTGCATGCATATAGACCTACTGTACCATATATGGTACGGGCTCCCCACGGCCCCCTTTTTATGGATTATTTTTTTAAATATTTTTTTCATGATTTTTATGCTTCCTTTTGTAAGTTATTGCTGAAAAAGCATTATTTATTCACAAAAATAATTATCGGTCTAAATGGGTTAATAAAATCCAAACATTGTTAGAGAACTAACTTTAAATGTAACACCTACATACAAGGAAGTAACTACGCAAATTATTATTGAAACATTGTCTACCAAGTAGGTACTTTTATTAAAATAAATATGAGACACAAATCTCTTGTAAAATTTTAACCTTGCAAGTCTAGTAAAAATCAATTTAAAGGTTTGTAAAAAACATGTTAAATCTTAAAACTATAATTTGCCCTTTGACTCACAGTTCTCAAATATTATTTATGTAAAAAGTTAAAAATGTATTGTTATAAATTCTATGTATTCTTAAAAACAGGATTCCAACTGGAAACATGTTTCAACTTATTGTTTAATTTTTAATATCTTAAAACCAGTTTAAAATGTAGGTAAATAACATTTCTGATCATCATGAACTAAACTGCCCGCAGTTTCACGATAATTTACAAAACACAAAATAGTCATCATTCTTCTCTCTAGTAAAATCTGCTGTCTCATTCTTACTATAAGTTACTTAACATCTCCTGTTTACGATTTCACTTCATAACTTAACCGTTAAACAATTCCTCTTCCCACGTCCAATAACAATGACATTTCAAACAATGTTTATACTGTTATCTGTGAATTTTCCATGTCATTCTTTGTATTGACGGTTTTGATGTTAAGATCAAATAAGTTAATAATATTGTCATGTAACATGATACTCTTATTGCATGTACAGTGGGCCACAGTTCCATTAATGTTTTTTCTCTAGCTCTTATCAAATGGCGATTCTTTGCGATAGAATGAGACAACATGATCGGAAATCTGTAGCTGGAAGTGTGGCTCATAGTACCTCACAAAGCTGACAATACAAAAGAAATACAAAATTGAGTCGGCATAACTTAAAACGGTCTTATAACTTAGTAGCTATCTCTTCCAGATGACATTGGAACGAACAGCTGTTTGAGATAACTAGTTACCTCATTTCAGCCAAATGATGTCCACTGCTGGACAAAGGTCTCCCCCAAGGATTTCCACAGCGACCAGTCCTGTGCTGTCTGTTACCTACCTAGTTAATACAATAGTAATATGCTTCATAAGAATAAATAAAATATGCATTTAGGATTGCTTTAATGGCTATTGTCAAACGTTTGATGGCACACAAAGTAATAAACCAAGAAAATAATTGCTGATTTCATCAAAAAATAATCAATGAAATTAGAAATCTAATAATAGAGTCAACATACCAATATGTGGATGCTATTTTCCTGTTTTTATTAATATTTAATACTGTTTAAATGTTGATTTTTGTTGCGACTTCCTAATATTTGCTGTAAAACAATACAATGAATTTTACCATTTAATGTTGAACATACTACAAAAGTACTGTAATTTTTAAATGATTAAAGTTCCATGTTAACAAATGTCATTCACTTAGCAGTAAAGGCAAGTCGATCCCTAATGAACTCCTAAGCTGTGCTTGTAATTAATTTTGTTGCCGGTCCAATGACAGTTGGACAAA